TTCATCATAATCCATGTTGAGTATCTTTAATCAAATTTTGTTACTCCAGGTGCTTCCTTTCGAATATCTTAAGAAGTTCTCTAAATTCTTTTATCTACACCATTGGGAAATCTTTGCTATAATCATTGCTGATTTGACTCTTGAACATGACATAGCCATGCTACTATGATGCAAATTTTTTTAATTGAATCGAATCTTCCTTAAGCTTGAAACTTGTCTTAAGTTTTATTTTGATATTGCTTAGGTTTATAGAGTTATTTTTTAGTTAATAAATGGTAGAAATCAGCCCTCCCTGGTGGCACAACGGGTTAAAGCACAGCACTAAGAAGCTTAAGTCACTTCTGCATGAGTTCGATCCCCACCTGCCCCCAGGAGGAGGCACCATGGCACCATGGCGCCATGGCACGGCAGACCTCTCCTGACCCACCCGCTGCTCCTGTCAGCAGTGTTCTGATCATCTGCCTGTTCTACTCCGTGCTCTGTCTCTGGTGACTCCTCTCACCCTCCACATCTCTGGTCTGTACCCAGTTCTGTATGAATAAATAAAATCTTTAAAAAAAATGGTAGAAATCATAGAAGTATTGATTTTCCTCAGGTTTTAAAGCCTATTTTTTTTTTAAGATTTATTTATTTATTCATACAGAACTGGGGTACAGGCCAGAGGCTCAGGGACGGTGAGAGGCTTCACCAGAGACAGAGTGGGGAGCAGAACAGGCAGATTGAGAAGTACACTGCTGAGGGGAGCAGCGGGCGGGTCCGGAGAGGTCAGGCTCACCTTGTCGTCTCCCAGGCGGCAGGCGGGAATAGAACTCATGCGGAAGTGGCTTCAGATTCTCAGTGCTGTGCTTTAACCCGCTGCGCCACCAGGGAGGGCCTAAAGCCTATTTTTAAATCACCTTTTAGAATTTATATTTTAACAGTTTTTCAGGATGAAAAAGTATAGTATTTATAACTGAGAGTCACATGTGAGTGAGTTTCTTAATGCTAATGTGGCTTTTCAATAAAAGAAAAAGGCATTATAATGAAGTGTGTTTACCTACAAGTATTATGGGAATATTTACTTTTGGTAAATCAGACTTACTACACATAGACTACTACCTTCCACTAACTTGTAGATATTTCCTCTTCCTGATTTCTGCACTCCCTGCACTAGTTCTAAGCAACCAGCCAGGGATTTGATTTCCCATAACTTTCTTTGTCATACAACCACATAAGAAGTATAAGAAAGCAAAGAGGACATCTTTGAAGATTTCTATTATTCACTTTGAAGTTTTAGATGAACAGAACAAGAGTTCTCCAACTTTGATAGTGCCAGGAATCATCTGTGGAATTATTAAAATCAAGATTTCCAGGCTCCACATTTAAGAGATTCTTAATTCATTAAGCTTCAAGTAAGGTCCAGAAGTTTGAATTTTTAATACATAATCCAGATGACTTTGAAGCAACTGCTCTTGGATCTTACTTTGATAAAAACTGCAAGTCATTTGCCTGCAGCAACTATATAATAACCCCAGATGATAGGAAAAAGCATTCTGTTCTCATTGAAACTATGTTTTTCCAAAGTGGGATATACAAATCCTATGAGAACAGAAGAATAATATACTAGAATAGGAAGAGGACATTAGATTTATCATCTTATCAAAAAAAATTAGCTTCATTGATATTAAATAAAATATTAACACAGCACTGGAGCAGAGGGTGAGAGAGTGAAAGAGAATGAGAAAGAAGACATCAACAGCAAAAATTCTGGAGGTGGTAAATGATTAAGTACACCAGAAATATCAAAACTTAAGCTAGAAGAAGTAAACTTGCTTTGTATTGCATTACCCCCAAAAGGCTCAGTAATCTGAATCATCAGGTATCTGAAAAGTGGAGCTGAAAGTTGACTGTTTCTTTTAAAAGCAGTTAAACCACTTCCCCATTTTCAATATGTATTGGAATGTGTACAAACTACAGTAAATAGAGAGAGGAAATAACAGGAATTAAAAGAGAGGACTGCATAGGGACAATCGGGTCACAGGAGGGAGAAGAGAGGAGATTTTTCATTTTTTATCTTTCATGGCTTTTTCACCATTCCAATCTCATGTCAAACAAAAGAAAACCAAACAAAAAGCAAATGAACTGAAATATAATTAACTTCTCAGGAAAATAATAAAAATTTCTCTTAAGGGAAACACTATCCTGGAGAATACATCCAGCTTACCACCACTTCTCTGACAATGACCCCCAAAGAAAACTGAGAGAAAATAAAATCAAGCCAGCACAATGCTAACCTTAGAAAGCTTGTGCACCAGAGATCATCCATTTTCCATTAATTTTGCATCTCATGCCCACAAATCACAATATCCTTTTCATCATATGAGTGTATATGTGTAGCTTAGATGCCCCCTCCCCCTTTATTTTTGGAGTAAAGCTAGATGGTTATTGGCACACAGGTGATCCAATCAGGTTTGCTGCAGATGGCCCTGGTCAAAGGCGGGAAGCTCTCTTCATCAGGTACAAATGGGCCCTCGTCAGGCCCATCAGGATTACTGGCCTTCTCCAGCCTTGGCCTCAGCTACAAGCCAGACACAGCATCCACCCGGGGATGCATTCACAGCCTTGTTCAGGAGAAAGAGGGCATCCCCCACAGGTCCACAGGTGGTGTGAAGAGGCTTCCTGCCTCCTCTGGCTGCCTAACAGCCGCTCTAATCCCCACCACCAGCTTTCCCTGATGTAAGTTGGCGTTTGAGGTGGCTCCTGGCTGACTAAAGCTATACCATGTGAGTCTAAAATTACCTGATTCACATTTCAAAAGGATAGGCCTTTTTGAATTTCAAAGTAATGAAGAAACATCACTTTTACATCATTTCAAAGTTTTCACTTACTTGACTTCTTAAAATAGATTTGCTTCTTAATTTTTCACTTAACATTACAGTAGCTTTTCCCCTTGGCTCAGAGAGGGCATTTATGTTTTCACTACCTTATTTTACCAGCCATCATCAATAATTCTCCTTATCTTATTTCAGTTTCTTTCATCATACTAGAGACCTTTTTTTCTTTATCATTTTATATAACTTAGCTAATATTTCTAAGAACAGCTATTAGTACCCACATTCCTAGTGATTTATCATTAAAAACAAAATCACTTGTTTCTCCTGAGTATGCCACATTTTTATTACTATTACTGATTGGGTATTATATCTAGAAATAAGGCATTATCTTGTGGTTATCAAGAAAACTTCAAATTTAAGTATTTATTTACAAAATAATTAGTCTTATTTATGCCCTTCCAAAAGTTTTTCTCAAAACTCAAGGCCAGCATTCCATTGCCTCTTCTCCTTTGCCCTATTTTTAAATATGCTATTTAGAAAAAAAATTGCAAATTCACTTATTACTGAATCAAGTACTGAGTTTTATAAACTGTGAAAATTCTTCAAATTATAATAAGAAAATAAGCTAAAATTTTTTGATCATCCAGCTTAAATAAATTCTCCTCTAGGACTCAAAAGGCAAAATAGTAGTGACATTTTTATTTAAACTCAACCTTTCATCTAAGAACATGTAATCTGTAAGAGTGACTATTACCCCAATTTTACCACCAAGGCACAGAATTACAGAGATTGCATTCAAGTGAACTCGAGGAGTTATCTAATCTAGTTTCTATCTCTAAGAATGACTGCATTTTAACAATCCAAGAAATATGTCCATCTTCTCTATTTTTCAAAATCTCCGGGAAGATGTTACAACTTGTCTAGCAATTTGTTCTGATGTGTAATATCCCTTGTTTTACTCATAATCCAAATCTGCAGATAAGGAGATAAAACCAGATTTCCCAGTTCCTCAGCAAATGCTCTTTATCCAGTCATTGTTACACAACACCCATAAAAATAAGCAGATGAAGAAACAGTTCAAAAACAAAAACTTCTAATTACCTAGTCAACTAATCAGCTGTTTCAAGCAATATTCATCTTGAAAACTGGCTGGTATAACAAAATTATTTGCCCCATCTGGAAATTATAGTAAATGTTTCCCAGTATGAAAACTGGTATTACAAATATTAAATGTGTCTTTATGAGTCATAAAAAAAGCTAATATTTATCAAGAAGTTTCTGAGTGTCAGACATACATAAAGGTGCATACATGCATAACATTACACTTAATGTTCACATTATTTCTATGAGGCAAGAACTACTGTTATTGTATATATAGTAGATAAAATTCAAGTTTAGAGAAGGCAAGTTGTTCAATCTCATAGATAGTGGAAGACAGGATTAAAACCTTGAAAGTTATGTTATCTTTTATTTTCTAATATTCACTTACATAAATTAGTTATTTTAGTATTCATTAGTATTAGTATCACATTACTTTAAGGTTGGATGAAAATCTATATTTATTTTTAAAAAGTATTATTCAAATTTATATTAGTCCCTCCATGTTTTTACATCAAAAGTGATCTGAGAGTACATTCTAAAGAACATGTATCAACATGACAAGTAACACATTAAAATTTGTTTTTTAAAGTTTGTTTCATGGATCTAAGATTTTTCTTATACTCATTAAGATTTGCTTTTAAAGTGTATATATAAGCTGAGTCTTAGTTGTTTGGAATATTACTCTTTCAAGAGACAAGGATGCATCTATGTCTTTTTACTATTCTTAGTGAAAAGGGGCACACTTCACTGTATTTTGGCTTCAATCTCAGTATCTTATAAAGTAAGTAATATCTAGAACCTTTCCCCAAATGTAAGCATAACTTTTAACTAGGGGAATGGCAATATGTTAGCCAAATAATTTCCTGAATAATTTGGCTTTACTAAGGTAATTTATGTACAAGTATTATTATATCATATTAGTAAAGAATCTATTAAGTATAAGCATTCTTCTAAAGAGTCAATTCTTTTTAGTGATTTCTTAATATTTCAATTTATTAGTTGATATTGATATTTAAAAGGAAAAAAACAGAACATTTGGAAGTCATAAAACTTTTAAATTGAATATATACTCCAATATTTTAATACCTTTTTCATTGTTTCCTTTCCCACTGTAATCTCATGCCCATCTTTCCCCATGCCATTTTGATAGAACAGGATTCGGACTGAGGTCTTCTCAGTAAGTTTCTTCATTCTAGTAGAAAGAATAGGCTTGGTTTTCTGTCTTTTGACATCAGTAGGAAGCATCAGCCCATTCATAGTCCAGGTTACTTTCTTCGTTAACAACAGATGGTCTAGAAGGGAATTTTTTTTTAAGTCAAGTCAATATTTGGATTCAAAATTAAAAATGGACACATCATGCTTCCCTCCTCCTACTACTTATGTCACATACACTGGCCAGTCCTCATTTAGATGCTGGTTTTCTGAAATGCTACCACCAGATTCCCACTAACCGTGACATAAGCTGTAGCAAGCTGTCTGCTCTGATAGCCTGCATAAATCATCATTTCTGAAGGGAACAGATGTTCAGGGTATGAAAGAGTAATACCACGACTTAGTCCTAATTAAAATTCACCTTAGCATGCTTCTATTACTGATCAGATGCACTGGGCTGAGAGAGTCCATTGAAAGGGCCCAAGGTCCTCTCCTTACCATAAAACAGTATGGGTTCTGAACTTTTGTCTTCTTTAGGATTGGGAAAACACTAATTTTTTCTTTAATATTATTTATTATCCATGTTACTTTTAAAGATGATGATCTCCAAACAGTAATCCCATCTATTATTCTCCTGTAACTAGAATTAATGTGCCTTTTAGGGGTGAGAGATTAAAACTACTTCACTAAAAATGAAAATCACACTTACAGCTTACTTAGACCTGTGCATTTTCAAAGATCCATGCATGAATTTAAGTTTTGAAACTCTCACTAAAGTTAATGATAGTGCAACTAAACTGCTATCTATGACAATGAAAATGTAAGAGTGAGACAAAAAGTGCAGTATATTGCATACTAAGTTTTGTCAGCATTCCTCTCTTTTCAAGAGGTTTTACTTCATAAATAAATAATTTGTGTCAGAATTATTTAATTTGTGAATTCAATGTGTTTTAGGTCATATTTTCTTTTCATATAAATTGCAAAAATACCATAATCCCTCCCTCGTCTACTTCCTATTTGTCCTAATGATAGAAATAAAATTTTATTTGCCTATAACTGAAATAGCTTCATTTGTTTGCACAAATTTCCAAATAACCCTTCCATGCTCATTCTTACCTTGAAAGAAGTATGATGTCTTTGACCTAGAAATAGTACTTCACATAAAATGTGCTAGTATTAATATGGTTGTAAATAACCATAAAGTTCCAGAATTATTACATTAACTGTTTAAAAAACAATTTTCTCTCTCACTCTCTCTTACATGCATGCACACTTACATGTGTACATATACACACACAGTGGGCAGAAATACAAGCAAGACTTTTGGAATCAAGTAATGCCAGTTAACTAGCTATATGACCAAGCCTTGAAGAAGAGAAAAATATTTTGCAGAAATTAGTTACTATCAGTTCTCATTTTGTCATCTGAAATTGATAAGAATTACAGTTTGAAAAAATAAACTAGAAGTTAAATAGCTCATATATGCCTAAAAGAATTAATAATTAGTCCTCAAAAATGTTCAAGCATGTTTATAGCAACTATTTACAACAGCAAAAGGTGAGAATGAAATGCTCACCAATGGAAAGATAAACTAAAGCTGTAACATATATATGATGGAATATTATACAACAATAAAAGGGATGAAGTACATATTAAAATGTGGATGAATCTTAAAACATTATGCTAAGTTGTGCCCTCCTTGGTGGCGCAGCAGGTTAAAGCACAACACAAAGAAGCTAAAGCACTTCAGCATAAGTTTAATCCTCGACCAGGAGATGATCCACATGGCAGGGCAGATCTCTCCTGACTGCCCACTGCTCCCCACAACAGTGTACTTCGTCAGTTGGTTTGTTCTGCTCCCCAGTGTCTATGGTGAATCTTTTCTCTGCCCCTACACCTCTGCCCTGTACCCAGGTTTTGTATGCATAAATAAATAAATCTTTAAAAAAAACATTATGATAAGCAAAAGAATTCAGCCATAAAAGAAAAAATATATCATTCCATTTATATGAAATAATCAAAATAAGTAAATTCATAGAAATAGAATGGAGACTGGTAATTCCCAGAGGTGACTGGAGAGAAACTGAATGAGCAAGGGGTTTTATTTTAGAATGATAAAACTACATTGGAACCAGACAGAGGCAGTAAATTGTACAATGTGGAGAATTTACTAAATGCCACTGAACTGTTCAGCTTAAAAAGATTAATTTTATGTTATGTGTATGTGTATTTCACCACAATAAATAAGGACCAAGGTGGATGAAAGTAGAGTGATATTAATGCTTAATTTCTCTCTGAAAATAATAAATAATCTCTCACTGAGATTTTTGGTAGTAATTATTGTCCAGCTGAACATCCTGCAAATGATTTGCACAGTGGAAAGGGGATAAACTATCTTTCAATGAGGTTTGAATACTAGCTCTGTTACTTGTGACTCTAAATGAGTCATCTACCTCCCTGAATGTATGATTTCTTTCTACAAGGTAAGAGTTTTATGTATAAAAGCGGGCATCTCTCCACCACCTAAGGAAGAATAAATATACTATTACATAAAAATACCCCAAATTCTGAGGTCACTCAACAAATACTGGTGTCCCTGAAATCCTGTGGAACTCTAAAGTATTGTTACATCATCCAGAATCCAACCAGAAAAAGAATCAAGTAACAGTAAACAGAGGGAACTGAATGCAAGGGATTGGTTATATAAGTGACAAGTATAAACCAAACAGCATCAAAGAACAGCGAAGACACACACAGAGAGCAACAGCAAGAAAACACTTCTGTGGAAGTGGCTGAAGGTAGATGTTATAGGTGAATGGGGCTTAGATAATCCTACTAAAAAATGATTTTCCTCTCCATGTTTAGGATGAGGTAAGTGAAGGGCTTATAATTCAAAATTTAAGGAGGCACCCTCAGAGTGATACAAGTGCAAAACCCTTAAAGCCTTGGCTTTGACTATCACTTTCATACATAAAACTCTTAAAATCCTATTAAAAGAGTGCTTACTAACAGTCAGACATGGATGCATATGATTTTATATGATATATAAGTACTGGCTCATCTAGTTTCCTCAATAAGTTTATGGGATATATATTATTCATTAACCACATCTACAAGTGAGCCACAAAGCAAAAAAATAATTTGTGCTAAATTTTGCAGTTGGTAGGTATTAGCACTGGGATATAAACTGAGTTCTAGAAACCATCCTTCCTAATCACTACACATTTTCTCTCTACCACATTTTTTGTCTCAAATTCAATACATCTAAAACAAAATTTCAAATCTCTGCACAACTGACACACCTGTCACATCTCTTAATTCTGTCAGTACTTCCACTTCTTTCAAAATTACCCATCATTTTAGGAAGATTTTGAACTTTTACCTACTACTTATTTTCCTCCAATCAATTGCTTATTAATTCAGGGATATTTATTGGCTGTGTATTCATCAGTGCACCCTCATTGTTGACAGCTGTGGACACTGTGAACAAGAGAGAAGGTTTTGTGCAACTCTTGGGAGAGACAGACAGTGAGTGGAAGACCTCTCTGAAGAGTTGGCATGTGAGTAGAAAGGCCTGCTGATAAGTAGTCATGAAACACTGGGGTGAGAGCATTTCCAGAATGAAAATGAAGCATAAAGTCTCTTGTGGCAATGAGCTTGACTTGCTTAAGAAAAATAAATTTGGATATAGAGATAATGTGTATGAATAAAACCAAAGAGGTAGAAAGAGAGGACAGCTTGTATCGGCCATGAAAATAGTTTGGATTTTATTCTAGATGTGATGAGAAGCTATTAGAGGCTCATGTAAAGAGCACACATTAAAGTGGACTGCAGGAGTTGATGGTGGTACTCTGCCAGATTCCTATTACAACCTAGTATGCTCAAATTCCAGTTACTTTGAGTTCCAACCTCTACCACTTCACAAGAGTCCCATTTTATGACTTCTGCCCATGGGTGAAAGGAACAGTCAGCTAGCCACAAAATGCCTGTCAAATGATGACCTCTTCCCCCTATAGAGTAGATCCCATAGGTAATGACTGACTGACTGGAGGACACAGCTACCAGAGTCCTCTTATCTTCAGGAGGGGGCAGCTCTGGTATATTTCTCACTCCAGATGAAGAACTTGGCTGCATTTTTTCCTCTGCTAATTCTCTCATTCTTTTACATGTGTTATCTGAGAGTATTTCTTCACTAAATAAATCCCTTACACAAAAATCCCTAACTCAGACTCTGCTTCTAGGGAAACTGACCTGAGCCAGAGTCAAAGATGGAGAACCCAACCTCTTAACTGATCTCTCTTGACAGTAATTCTTAAAACATCATTCCTTTCCATTCCAAGATGGACCACTTATCCATTGCTCTCTCAGACTCCAATCAAATTCCTAATTTATTTGACCCTACTCCAGTACATCTGACATTCTATGCTTTGGTAACAGCTGACTTTTATTAAAATGGAACTAGTTTTGAAATTTCCCACTAATGAGTGAGCAAGTCAGTTTGTTTATATGTCAGGAAGTCGACAAATACTGGGCCCATCCTGTGTGCAGACCTGTGCAAGGATTACTTAAATTTATGTCTAACAAGTTTGATGGCAATCTGGCACTATTCAAATTTTCTGGCTTTATCTTACAATCGTTTAAAGCACTATTCTACCTAAACTGATATCTTCATTATCCCTTGAATATATAAATTCTATTTTAATCCTATCTTATTCAGATTCAAGCCCTTCTCAAGACCCAGTTTAATATCATCCTTTATTCCTCCACAAGTTTCACTGAATCTCAAGAGCACATGTACCTCTCCAACCTACCAATTAATTCACTATGTGACCAGAACCTGCACAAGCACTATGCTAGGTACTAAGGAAAAATCAAAAGCCATTTGAAATTATTCTGTAGGTTCTTGATAAATATATATCCTATTTGTTTCCATACTAAATCCTCAGGTAAGAATCAAATCTATATTTCTATAAACTATCAACAGGTCTATGACACATGCTACAGACACTAGATATGAACTTTCCTTATGCATTTAAATGTTCAACTGAAAGAATTTTTCATTTTATGCCACTTTTCATAACATGCCAATCATGGAAAATAAGCTTTATTGACGGCAGTTACCTACTAACTTTATTCCCTA